AGAAATCAAGCCAACATACACTAAGCACATGAAAGGCTGCCACTGCAGAAGGTTGGGGTTTTTTTGTTGGGGTTTTGTTGTTTGGGCTTTTTTTCTTTTTATTTACCTCAAAATTCTCACTGACTTCTTGCATCATTTTCAATTTGGTTTCATCAGCTGAAAATGGAAATTGAAGCAAAAAAATGTAAATGTAAAACTAGACCATGAAGGAAAACACCAGGCTCATTGATCAAAGAAGCAATCAGATCTTATCAGTTTAGCTATCATCGCCCAATTATAAGGCACACCATTCTCTCAACCACCACACAACTACACACGCACTCAACTCACTCACTCTGGCTCATGCAAGTATTGCTCATCACTTTGCTTCTTCAAAAATCAAAACTCAAACAAAATTCAAAGTGAATTTGACATTGAACTACTGCCTGAACAGTACTGCAACATTTGTGAAACAAACTACTGAAGAACTGTAATTTTCAATAAGAAAAAAATCTCTTACGTGTATTGACATCTGTAAGAGCAGCCACAAATTGAAGGTATTTTTTCATCAAAGTGGTTTGGTCCACCACCGTAGGCCCTTGTGCTGAAACAAATGCCATCTTGAAGGAGGAAAGGTCAGCTTTCAGTACCTAAAATCAACACACCTACAAAAGAATAAAGAAGTATTTGTTAGTTTATATGGCTGGTTAACAGCCGCTATCAGATCACTACATCCATTTTTCTGACCTATTGAGGGGGACCACCTTTTCCATAAACCACAGCTGTCACATTTACTTAAGCTTACAAATACAATGCCAAGCATGAACAGCACTCACTGCAACAGGAATGCACTAACAGATACAAGTGGTTATTGGGCTCTTTCCAACACAGCCCAAACATCCAAGCGTTTTGCTTGGTTCCGTCTCTCCCAGCAGCAGGCTCCTGGCTCGGGAATGCTCCCAACACCGCACACCTGTTATCCTGTCACCCAGGATCCCAAACTTACAGCTCCCCTCGGACACACCTCGGCGGGACTCACTCCCAGCGGTACCCGAAGTTGTCCACGAGCTGCCTTTCTCGCTTGTAAAGAAACCTAAAACCACGTTCATCTTGAGAGACCGGCGGCCTCCCCGCTGCCCTGGGCGGTTTCTGTCCGCGCTCCTCACGGCCTCCGTGGCCGGGGGCGCCCCCAAACGCCCCCCGGGACGCCCCTCACCTTCCCCGCCGCAGCGCTGCTCGCACCGGCTCCTCCCCGCGGCCAGGGCGCCATCACGCCGGCCCCATCTCCGCCCTGCGAACAGGGGCACCCGTGAGCGGCCGCGCCGGCGCCTCCCCCGCCCCTCAGCGCTGCCGGTGCCGCGCTCGGCTCGAGGCCTCCGGCGGCGGTGTCGGCGGCGCTCCAGCCGCTTCCTCCTGCCCCCGCCGCGCCGGTCCCGCCCCGCCGGCAGCGCCGCGCCGGCCTCGCCCCACACCGCTCCGCTCCACCCCGGCCCGGGCCCCGCCGGGGCGCTGTCCCCGCTCTCCTCACCCCGCGACTCCCGGGCCCGGCTCAGCCGCGGCGCCCCGGGTCCCTCCTTTGTTGCTGCCGGAGGCTGCCGGCAGCGCATGGGCGCGACGGAAGCGCCCGCGCTCAGTTCCGGCCGCCTCCTCCGGTGCCGCCTCCCGCGCCTCTCCCGGGGCGGAGGCCGGCGCGGAGCTCCGCGGTACCGCCCGGTCCCTTCACCGGCCTCGGTGCCACCCCTGCCTTGAGCCGCTCCAGCCCGGCGCTGCCTGAGGCGAGCCCCGCCCGCCCCCTCGGCCCCGGTAACAGCGGGCGAGAGTTACCGAGGCAGACGCGGCCGCTGCCGGTCCCTCCGGCCTGCACGGCTCGACTCGGCCCGCCGGGGCCCCGGGAGAGCGGCGGCAGGGCCGGAATCCAAGCAGAGGGGGCTGATCCGCCAGGAGAAACAAAACCGCAACCAGGAGTGACAAAGGGCTTCGAATGAGGAGTTTAAGGAAAAAATATTAAATAAATTAATTTTAAAATCCCACAGCCCACTGCGGGTCTCTGGCTCTGGCTCCCTGCGGCAGCGCGCCCGTCACGGGCCCTCCGGGGCGCTGCGGGACCGGTAACCGCAGCCCAGGTGCCGGTAACCGCAGCCGAGCCGTCCCCGCGCCACCGGGGCCTCCGAAACACCGAACCCGTGCGTGTCATCCCCGAAGCACAGCACAAACCCCGTCCGAACCCTAAGAGCTGTCCCCGCGCTCTCCGCAGATGGGCGGCATTTGTGCGCTGTTTTATTGATTATTTGTCTAAACTCCCCGTCGGCTTCGCAGCCCCGTCACGCTGCCAACACGATCCCGCAGGAACTGCCCCCGGGAGAGGCGGGCTGGGCGCTGCCGCGGGGGAGCGGCCCGGGGGCGCGGACGGAGGTGCCGCAGAGCCTCGGGGGCAGCGCCGGCCCCAGCGCGGCCAGAGCCGGTACCAGATCTGGTCCTAGACCTCGTACCAGACCCGGTCCCGGCACCGACCCGCGGCCCCCGCGGCCCCCAGCATGGTGCGGCTGACCTGCGTGATGCTGCTGCTCGGCCTCGGTGCCCCCCCGGTGGCAGGTAAGGGGCCGCGGGGCCGCGCTGGCATCGCCGCCGGGGAGCGGGCGAGGGGCTGCGGGGAACGAGAGGTCACACATTAGCCGTGAGCTGCATTACTGCTGCGGGAGGTGGTTCGCTGCCCCAGCTTAACAGCTATGACCGGGGATGGAGGCAGCTCCGGGCACCTTTCCACCACCCCAGACTTTATTCTCGGGCGCTGCGACCTTGGAGCCTGCAGTGTAGGTGGCGCATCCCGAGCAGCCGGGGTTCTCCTTTGCACATCTGACCTAAAAGTTGCGCTTCTGCTCCCTCCTCTGATCCCGCGCCGCGGGTCACAAGGCACCTGGGCAGCCGCTGTCCCTCGCTGTGGGACTCGCAGAGCTGCATTCTGCAGAGAGAGGTCGGGAAGGTAGAAGAAATCCCTGAACTGGATGGAATGTCTTGCTGTGCCAATCACTCTTTGAGTGACCTTGGGTTTGCCACTGAAACTCCAGCTGCTGCAGCTGTTGGGCCGATATGGCCCTGGTTTGTGCAGCACAACGATAACCTCCAAGGAGAAGTGCTAGATAAGCATGAGGTAACTGGCTATTTTTTTCCCAAGTTCTGCTGAAGTGGAGCATAGCCTGAATATTCTAGAGACATGAAACCTCTCTGTGCCAGATTTCATCAAATCACAAGCATTTCTCTGTTAACTCAAAAAACTGAACTCAGGGCATTTCTTGTGCTGTGAAATGTGAACAGTGGAGTTCTTGCTCAGGCAGTGATGTTACAGTTCATTTCTCACAGTCCTTTTGCCTCCAGAATTGCTCAGCACCTGTGATGTGTAAAATAAAATGTGGGCACTAAGTAGATGCTTTGGAATCTCTTTCCACTCTATCCCAAGCTGATGGGTGCAGAAAAACCAGCACAGGAGCTGGGTGACCCCAGTGCTCCCTCCACATTACAGATCACGGATGAGTGAGAAATGCAAATTCTGAAGCTCAAGGGTTCCTGTCCCGGTTAGCAATCTGGTGGCTGCTGAAAGAGAGAAGGAAAGGCACCAGCATGAGAACCCCCTAGCTCTACTGCTCTGCCCAGCCCTGCTGGTGAGAGGAGAGCCAGGGAGGGAACATGCTCCATATTGGAGGCAACCAGATCCTGCTCCCAGCTCTGTCCAAGTTCATAGCTATTGGTGGTTGTTGCCTTTCCTTTTGTTTTGAGGTTTTAGGCTCGGTTTTTTGTTAATTTTTAACACATGCAGATCCTTTAATGTTGCTGCACTGCTATTTTCTGGAAAAATTGAATCTATCCTTTCCATAAAACCCAACTTCACTCACACTCCATCCACTGCAGTAGTTGCAAGAGCTGAAGTAAGCAGAGAAGATAAAAGTGAGTCATTCAGAGCAGCAGAGGTGGTTCAACTGACTAGTTAAAATGTGCAAATAAATAAATAACATTAAAAATGCAGTACAACAAGGTTTGTTTTGCTTTTTTTCTTCTCATTTCCGCAGAGGCATATGATCTAGAAATAACCAACAATGGTCCCATCACAACAGGAGCTCAAGCTACTGTTCAGGCCACTCTAAGTGTGAAGAATGAAAGCGTCACATCAGACGTGTATCACTTTAACTGGATTTATGCTCCTCTGATTCTGATAGAGAAATCTGAGCAGGGGTTTAACTCTGTAATTAATGTGACCGGAGAATTTCCTGGGACTTTTCCTGTGTCTGTCTGGGTGACTCACAGGAACTGTTGGCTGTGTCGGCCGGTTGCTAGAAATGTCACTGTGCTTCAGATCACAGGTAAGATTTGCCTTTACAACCTCTACACCTTCAGGAATTCAGTATTCAGGGTGCTGGCTGCCTTTCTTAGCACCAGGAAAATGAAAGTCAGTTGTAAATATGGCTCCTGACAACAGAGTTTGATTTGTGTAGCCCTTTGACTGAAGGTGAGTTTAGGTGACATTGTACCATTAGTACAGTTAGAGCCACACTGCAGTCTATCTACATCCAGGAAGTGTGATCCTGCCCATATTTTCCTGCCTCTGTCACTTGGAGAAACTGAACTAGAAACCAGAAGCTTCAGCAGCTGCAGTTCACACATCAGCATTGTTCAGAGATATCCAGAGTCCTAAAACAATGCTTCCCAGCATTTCCACTTTTAAAGTTAGGATGACCAGCAGCAGTGACAGTCTGCTGATTTTCCCTGTTGCATGACACAGCAGATCTTAGGCCATCACCACAACAGAGCCTTTACATTTTCTTTTAAAGCTCTAAATGAGTGTACTGAAATCAGATATGAAATCATGGCTGCATTTTCAAATGTTGCTAAGTGCAATTTCAGCTTATTGGGAATATTCATAACCATAAATATGCCTTTTTTTTTTTTTTACAAATTAACCAGTGGGGTGGTATGATTAACCCAATGTCTGGTACAGGAGGTTGACATGAAATCATCAACTGACAGCTTTCTGCCGTGTCATCATAATACCTCTTTATTCACAGGTTAGAGTGTTTCTTTTAGATCAGTCTCGTAAACAAATTCCAACATAAAACCTCTCATAGACATCAAACCTTAATCCTTTCTGTATTCACAATATATAGAGCTCTGTTCTTCGTCACAGTCAAATTTTAATTTATGTAGAAATAGCTAAAAACTAAAAAACAAAAACCCAGCAATATAGAAAACCTCCCTAAACAAACAAATAAACCCCAGCACCCCAAACATGAAGGGTGTGTATAGTGGTTTGGTTCTAAATCTAGATACTCATTGTTAATCCCACTTGTTTTTACATCAAGAGTAAAAGTTTATACTGACCTTAATCAGTCCAAGATTTCTTAGTTCTATTAGAAGTTTTATCATGACCCACTGTATGACCCTAAATGAGTATTTTAATTTCACTGCCTCATTAACATATGTAACAACACTGAATAATAGATATAAAATACACTTAACCACTTGGAGTAGGACACAGAAAAACTTAAGCAGTAATGTTTTGATACACACACAAAGTATGTTATGGAAGTGACATATACTGTCATTCTTTTCCCACCTTATTATTCTGCAGAATTTATCACAGGGAATCTCACCATTGCCCAGATAGAAGACAGTGAAGTTGTCACATGGGGTTCTAGTTCCTCCACAGGCACAGTGACCCGGATTTCCTTCTCTCTTCATGACCCAAGTCATTACTTCAAGTCAGCATCATTTGTCTACAACTGGGATTTTGGAGATGGGTAGGTGTGGTTACTTGGTTGGCTTTAAGGAGTATTCAAGATGGGTCTGATTCAGATGCTCATCTAGAGAAAAATCATAGTTAAATCACAAGACAAAGCATACGCCTTTGTGAGTTGGTACATCCTTGGCATGTCACCCTGGTGAATTCTGAAAATCTAAATTCACTGGGTGCTCACAAAATGATGATGTTTTAAAGACCTAGATTTCTTGTTCAGATATATGCTTACATGTACTACCCTGTGTGTGTGATGAGCCAAACTGAGTGGAGTGAAATGAAATAAGCAGCTTATTGTAAATTATTTTAAAACATCATTGTGCCTGCAGATCTCCATTAGCAGGTGGGTGTTGTGTATGTGAATAATTTGTGCACTTAAAGAGAATGGAAGCAGTGGTTGGGCAACAAGGAGCTGTTATCATGACCAGCTATCCATAAATATACAACAGTTTGGTGAGGAGCTTTTGAAAGTGGAGAGTGTCTCAAATAACATGCAGGTGCACTTTACCAGGGGTAGAACAGCACTCAGAACCATTAGAAATAAAACCATGGGTAAAGCCACACGGCAGTAGGGAGGAAAAAACCGTTCAGTTATTTATCTTATTTGAAGATGAATACATGTATAGGCAAAGAGAGATGTGAGATGTAAGCTTTAGTCTTTGAATACTATTTTGTTTCTTTCTTTCTCCCCCCCACCTTAGTTTCAGTTAACTTATAGTCTGCCTGCTATGAAAGTTGTTTTCTTAATATACTGACTATTCCTATTTCACTTTGTGAATTCTTTTAGCATAATCTTTAGTTTCTTTCATTAAAAATGCACAAGTTTACTCCAGATCTTATGGTGATTGTAGTTCTATAGGTAATGCCATAGACATGAATCCTCATTGATAGGGACATAAAGCAGAATTAGAATCACAGCGACTGGAGTCTGTAAAGAAAATATATTAGAGCTTGTCCTATTTTAAACCAGAAATCTGCAAGCACTTGGTAAAAGGCAATTTGGATTCTAAACCTTTTCCTGTTTCACACAGAGTTTACCAGATTACCAAGGAACCCTTTGTCTACTGTAACTGCTCTTCCATGGGGAATCGCACGGTGCACCTGAAAGTCGTAGCTGAATGGGAGCAAATTGGAAGCATCATCCACGAAAGAGAAATTATGCAGAAAACTGGTGATTTTACCACAGCTCTGGAGCTCTTGGGTAATCAAAAAACATTTTGCATATTCAATTCACAACTTGATATATATGTACAGATAAAATCTAGCTTTAAAGTGGTAACACAACTTCAGCACAGTTTCACATGCGAGAACTGGCCAACATGAATCAATGAAGTGTTTCCATTGCAAAATGGACTTTGTGTTGTTCTAGTGCAGAAAAACGGGGGGAAACATATAAAATCTTCTGTTTCTTTTTAACCTACAACAAAAATTTACTGTCTTTTTGAAAATCTCACATACACTTAAAACAATAAAATGTTGACCATGACTTTTGCTGGATTTGTCAGTTTATACCAGCTAATCCTAAACAATACATAAGTTAAAACAGGCATTAGGAAAGTCTCATTAATTTGGTCAGCTTCAGGAGTAAATAAACATGGAAGGAAAAATGTAAAGAATTAATAAAGTAGTTGATTATATATTAAAAAGAAATCATCAAAAATTCAGAAAACTTACAACATCTCTACTGGTAGGTTTCCTTTTGGGGTATGAGACAAATATTATTATTTGTGTGGTTGATGGAGCTCAAATCTGCTAAGACTGAAAACAAACCTTCACTGGAAAACCAGTGAGTTTCCAGTTTCCACGTGGAGTGTGACATGCTGCCTTTTTATTTCTTTTCAGATGCTGTTAAAAGTATTAACATAGTGGGCTCCAGAGAAACTCACGTAATGGAAAACTTGAATTTATCTCTTCATATCAATGGCACGTAAGTAGCAAACAAGACTTCATTCCCCAAAACGTGAAAACAGCAAAAACCATTACAGACAAACCTGAGATCACTAAAAGCAGGCTTGGTAACCTCCTAGTCACAGGACTGGGGCTGATGCAATAGGAGTTTAAGATAGAGAAGCAATGACAAAGGCTTGAGAGATGGGTTATCAAAAACAAAGCTGGAAAATGAGCTAAGCACATAAACATGCTGCTTTCTTTAGCAGAGAATGTCATAAAGAGATAAGAAACAAAAACTAATAAAATGGGGCAAAGAAAAGCTCTATCTGATGTCAGAATCAAAGTCCATGGTGCATAAGGTGAGTTTGGGCAGCATCAGTTGGAACAGAGGCCTGGAACTGTAAATGAAAAGCATCAATTAGACATGGTGAGAAGCCATATGGACATAAAGTGGGTTGCACTAGATCGCTTGATAACAAATAAAAACCTTTTGTTATTGTAAGGGAATGCTGCGGTCCTTGCAATTAATTTACCTTTTCCAGCTGTTAGCCCATTGTCCAGAGCTCATCTTACGTTCTTTCCAGTTTCAGCTGCAGGGTTTTTTTAATTAGAAAAGTCTTGGGTGTGCTTCAGTAGCACAGACAATGATTTCTGTGTGAGAAGGACAAAGAACAAACAACGTATACTCCCTTGGAAGTGCAGGGAAAAAAGCCTCCTTTAATCTTTTTTGGAGAATGACTGTGGAGTTTTCTACACACAGTGGCCTGCCGGTGACCCACACAGGTATTCAGCTCTCAGCTGAAAGACTTACCTTCACAGGAGCACCACAAAGAACCTTTTCACTTGGCAAATGCTGTAAACCAAACACTTGTGAGGTTAATTACTTCTCTATTTGTATTTAGATTACCTTCATTATTTTTAAAATTATTACATAAGTTTAACCAAGCTCTTACCTGAAATTTTCGTGAATTTTTCACTTTTTTCTGCCGTGTCTTTTTGCTCTTTTCCTTTCAGCCCACCACTGGCACTATGCTGGCTTATAAAATCCGAGTGCATTCCACTTGAAGGTGACAAATGCCATCTGGTGGAGATCAGTGGCTCCTGCTACAATCTCAGCCACACCTTCAGAGACGCGGGGCAGTATTGCCTCAGCATCAGAGTGGAGAACGGCGTCACGATGCTGCAAACCTACCACGGGATAAAAGTGTGGCCAACAGGTGAGGAGCAGGGAGAGAGATTCCCACTTGTCAGGGAACTGACAGTCTCAAACAGGTTAAGGACAATTAAGAATTAACCAGCCTGCTGACGAGGTTTCTGAAAACTTTGTATAGATTCCTAAAAGGACAGGAATAAGAGAGAGTTTATAATGTGCCTGCTGTAATTGCTCTGAGCTTCTTGCAGTCTGCTGAACCCTTAGTCCCAAGGGTGTCCAGAAGCTAGTAAGTTTTCTGGGAAGGCTATATTACTTAAATCACATATTTTTCAGTTTAAATAGTCCAGTTTTGGTAGTTAGAAAGGATAATTAGGAAAATCTACATCTGTCACGCTCACTTAATTAAACAGTCTCAATTCTCCTTTTAGTTTAGTCATGGGGGTTTTGAGAGCAGATTTCTCCAGGCCTCCATTTCATTACAGATTTCTGTCCCTCCCGCAAGCGATCCCTGCTGGCTCCCCTATACATGGTCACATGTGCCCCTTTTGGGTTCCCAAATCATCTGGGAAAGTGGTTAGGTGGCCAGATGAAGAGGACAGAGGGCAACCTTGTGATACAGAACAGTTACCCCATCTTACCATGGGCAGCACTTGTGTACAGACAGGGCAGATCACTCCAGAAGGCACTGATGTGCATTCAGGGCTAAATCCTCTGTCCTGGAGGCTGCTGTGAAAGTGAAATAATCCTATCCTTTCCTATCCTCTTGGAGTACCACAGAGGTACAAACACCCTGGGGAGTCAGGGCTAACACAAGTAACGGGGTGGGGTTTTTTAGGTTGTTCAAGAGAAAAGGCAGGTAAAATGGGAAAGACCTTTTCCCTCTTCTGAGATTTCAGAAAGGCATGGAGTAATCCAGGATGGAAAATTTATTCCCTCTTACACACATCTCCTTTGTTCTATAAATACAAGAGCTTCTCCTAAAACTTCTCCATCTTTTCCTTCTCACTGTTGCCCCTTCTCAGGGTATTGTAGCACTCCAGGAATGTGTCCTTGTGCTCTTTCCTAGGGATCCACCCAGCTTTCTTAGTCCTGGTCTGCATCGCTCTGGTTTCAGTGATGTTGCTGCTGGTGCTGTACACGACCTTCCGAAGTAACACACAACAAAAAGATCTTGTGGAGGTATTCAGTTACTCCTACTTTCAGCTGGGACAGTAATTAAGTATCTTTCAGCCATGAAAGGTATTTAGTATGACAGGTTCTGTAATCCCCAGACAAGTGGAGCTGGAGGGAACATTTCCCTGGTATGTATGATCTGTTCCACTGAAAAATCTAAACAGTGTAGGCAAACACTTTTAGCAACAGGCGCGTGTCTGGCTTATTGCAGAGAACTCTAAATCAAGTTTCCATGAGCAATTTGTCAATATTCTCAAGCAGATGCTTGCACTGAAATATCTCTCCCAGAGGATCTACCTCAGAGTAGTTACACAAAAGAAAGCAGAGAGATAGTGCAAGAAGATATAGGATATTCAGTGCCTAAAACAGCACTGAATTGTTACCTACCCCTAGTATGTGACCTTCATCTCTCCAGCTCCCTTCCAGCTTTGATACACCTTTTATTTGCTACAAAATGTGTTTGTAATAAGCATGAGTTCCTAAATCAAAAGTAGCTTTCATGGTACTTTGCAAAGTACCTAATACCCTTTACGTTGTGCCACAATGGGAATAACTTACCTGTAGAGAGACTGCCTATGAGCAGCAGGTATGAATCAGAAGTCTATTTGAAGTTGGTGACTGACTGAAAATGGTTGAGGACCAAGTGCCATTTCTGGCCCTATGTATTTTTGCTGGACTCACTTAAGCCAGAAGGAACAAAACTAAAAATGATCTCTTTGATGTTCTTTTTCCAGGTAGCTGACTTTGACTTTTCTCCACTGTCTGATGAACACCTGTCTAATCATTCAGAGTCAGGCTGTGGCCCACTATGTTGCAGATCATGTTTTCTTCAGTCATCAAAGGAAGCTGCCAGGGAGAGTCATGAACTTCGACATTCTTTTTACAAGCCAGTCAAAATGTACACACAGTGAAGAACTCAACTGCACTTTGGTTGCACCAACTGTCTAACTTTCTCACTTAGGATAAGTTAAAAGCCCAATGTTGCACAAATGGTTTCATTTTGCCAGTGCAATGAGGTTCACCATTTTAAATCCAGCACTTGATTTTTTCATTCTCTGAGCTAAAAAAGAAAAGTAGCTTTGTATTTTTAACTTATACGGGTGTGTACATTTACAGCTGTAAATGCAGCATTTTATTCTTATGAAAGATTGTTTTATGCACAAGTTTGCTAAACTCACTACCTCCTATAATTTTTCTGTTCCTTCTGCTGTCTGTTTAAAAGAAGAAAATGCTTAAGATGAACATACCTCTGTTTCCTATGTTACAACAATATTACTGGAAATGGAAGTCACACAAAATGCTGTTGAATGAGTATTTCTTCCATAAGGGAACTGATGTGTCCAGGTTGAGAACGGCCGAGATGCTTCCAATGAACCAGACCACCTAATTATGTTGTCTTTTTTCCTCCTGTCTTAAAAGACCTTCTTTTTAAGCTAATAGACTTCTGTCAGACCGTAGTGGCTGATGACCTGCTCTTGGAGAGCTACCTGCTAGCAGTATTTTGGTGCTGTACAAGGGTCCACATGTCTACCACTTTATGAAGTGATGCAACACTAATCTTTTTCAGAAAGTTTTTTTTTTCCAAGCTGTTCATTCTTCTTTTCTTTCTCATATTACTCCCCAGCTAGTCATTAAAGCTCCTCTTCCAAAAAATGCAACAGCCAGTAACTCAAAGATGCTCAGAAAAACATATTCAATTTGAATTCATACTCAATGTTCAAGGCTGTATGAACTCCATGCCTGTTGCAGACTATCATCTACTATCAGCTTCCTGCTCTGCCAGGCTTTGCCCCCTGCTATGAGGCATTTCAGAGTACCCTGGAGGCTTTTAAACAAAAGTGCCTTTGTGGCCATTTCTTTTTTTGAATGTGACACACCTTCCCCACCTCTAATTTAAAGCCTATGGGTATTGTGGGCTTGGGGTTTTTCATAATTTCTCAAATGCACTGATTGGGAGATAATTGTCTGAATGGGAGGGGATTTACTGTGAGGTTTTTGGAGTGCTCAGGTCACACATTCAACTTCTGTGTTTCCTCAGAGAAGCCCAGAGCTTCAGTTCCCCTGTGAACAAAATTACAGGACTTCAGAAGGGCTCTGTTAATAAGCGTGATACATTTAAAGTAGAATGGGATCATCTAAGATAACAAATTCTATAAACCCCAGTTTTTGTCAAAAAGTACTTTCCAAGGCAGAACTTCTCTTGGCTTTTCTTCTAAAGAGAAACTGTATTTCTATGCAAGCTTGTTGATTAGGAGTGGTGTCCTTTGTATTCCTCCTCAGTGCTCTGGTATCAGACTCTTATCTTCAGTCATATTCAGTTACTGTTAAAAATGTGCCTCTCTTTAGCAAACAAGCTACTGTGCCTGAGAGCTTCAGTTTTATTGTCTATTCCTGAGATCCCAGCCCTCTGAGCCACTGCCAAAGGTACAGAGACTCGTTATGGGATGTCAGTGTGGTTGGTAAATGGCTACATGGTCTTTGGGCACTGAAAAGATTTCTGATATGCAAAATGCAGCTGAGAGTGACAAAGCCCTAGACAGACTGCACAGGGGCTTTCTGCAGCCAGAAGTTTAGTTTGAGCTTCTTTTATTACATTTGTGACAGATATGTGGCCCTTGCTGTTGTAATACACTTAAAGACAACCCCTTGACATGCTAATGAATGTGTAAAAAGCCCTTTCTTCTCCATAAGGCAATCCTAGCAAAGACAGTATCTGTGACAGCAGACTCAGATACATGCAACAGGGGTCATTTGGGTTTGAGAAAGATCATATAAAAGGATTAAGACCTATGCTCTGCCCCTTTCTCCATTAATTTTTTTTCCAGGTGATTCAGAGGGTATCATGGGGTGTTAGGCCACAAACATTGCTGCTTTGGGTTTTTGCCTTTGTGCTCTCCTCTGTATGTCCGATCTGAGATACAGCTGATCATGTCCCAGTCCAAAAGAGTGAGACATGGAGTTAGTGATATAAAACATCACTAACAGGCCTAAGAAAATCCCCAATTTCCTATTAAGGAAAGCAGAGCAAATGTCCTTCAGAAGAATATTGCCTCTTACTCTCTTCCTAAAATGAACAAAGGATGACAAAGGAGTCAAATGATTCGGAAGGGTAGAAAAGATAAAGTGCTGCAAAGTGGAAAGTCAACACTATCAAATAGTGGAAGATACTACTCAAGAGCAGATGGAAAAGTATAGAGGTTAGAAAGAAAGACTTCTCTGGCAAAAAATAAGCAGCGGAGAAAGTACACTTTAAAGGGCATGTCAAGAAGCAAATTAACCAAGGAAATTTAAACAGCCTTAGCAAATTGAGGTGTAAGTATGAGAAATATTCACACGAACATGTTCTTGAATCCAGTATGAAACTGCTTCCTGCACTAAAGACTGATCTGTGGGTTCGATAAATGCATCTGAAATTGAAGACAAAAGGTAATTGAGCGGTTCAGGATATAGCAAAGAGATTAGTGGGACGGAACAAGGAGCAGTAGGAGGATTCATTTTGTTAACCTTAGAAATCAATGACCTGAAAAAAGGAATGTTCAGCAAAACGATCAAACTCACTGATTCAAAGCAAGAGTCCAGTGAGTGCAAAGCCAAAGAGAGATTAAATTCAGGTGATAAGCAAGAGTGTGGGCAGATAAAAAGTTTAGGCAATGAGAACTAGTTACAAGAAAATGTATTTGAGCACAAAAATGTTCTGGAAATGCATAGTATAAAAACACAGTAAAGCAAAAGAACTTCTTTTATTCTGCAATTTGTCATATAAACAATGGTGTCGGTCTGTGCAGCAGTTATGAGGGCAAATTGGACCTTTATCTTAACAGCAGAGCATGAGGCTCCGTGGCTAAACAGGTCAAGGCTGAATTCTGTCTTTCATCTCTGGAAAGGAGATTACACAGCCCAAGCTGTGACAACAATTTGAAGTCACAAGACCTCTATCGCGTTTGCTGTGTGCTGGAGGAATGGAGATTCTTTCAGCAGAAGGAAGGTGAAGAACTTCATATTTAAATGCTCAGCTTTATTATTAGATAATCAGCCAACACTTCACCTTGATTTTGTAGAGCCAGTGCCAGTTTCCATGGAAACTGAAATGCCATCCTGCAGCTGTCACAAAGTTGTTCAAATCCTGCAGATCTCAGCTTTGACAGCACACCGCACACTAGAAATGTGGATTTTTAAATTACAGCTACTAAAGTGGGGAATGCAGAAGTTCCAGAAACTTCTTTCAGCATGGGAATACTTGTTGCCAGGGCATGTAATTCCTACAGCAGTGTGCACGAAGAGAGCAGTCACAGAAGACCGTAGAACCCAAAATATAAAACGGTTTGGGTTGGAAGGGACCTTAAAGATCATCTTGTTCCAACACCCCTGCCATGGGCAGAGACATTTTTCACTATCCCGGGTTGCTCAGAGCCCCATCAGTGGCCTTGAACAATTCCAGGGATGGGGCAGCAGCTTCTCTGGGCAACCTGTGCCAGTGCCTCACCACTCTCACAGGAAAGAATTTTTTCCTAGTATCCAATCTAAACCTACTCTCTTTTAGTTTGAAGCCATTCTCCCTTGTCCTGTCACTCCAGACCCTTGTAAATAGTCTCTCTCCATCCTTCTTGCAGGCTCCCTTCAGGTACTGGAAGGCTGTAATTCGGCCACTCCAAAGCCCTCTCCAGGCTGAATAATCCCAACTCTTTCAGCCTTCCCTCACAGCAGAGGTGCTCCATTCCTCTGATCATCTCAGTGGCCTCCTCTGGACTCGCTCCAACAGCTCCATGTCCTTCCCGTGCTGGGCCCCCGGAGCTGGAGGCAGCTCTGCAGGTGAGGTCTCACCTGAGCTAAGGGGCAGAACCCCCTCCCTTGATCTGCGTGTTTTACAAAACACCACAGTTGTGCAACAACTAACACAACTACAGGAGCCAATTTTACCAGAGCACTAGGAAAAGACTACCCCAGCCAAATAATTTTCTAAAGCGTTTACTCACAGCAGTCCTGGGAGGCAGGGAAGTGATACTATCACCGCTCGCAGGAGGCAAAAGGGAGCCGTATGGAGATACGGCAGCTGTAAATACCTGCATTAAAAGTCGAGATTATAAAGGTGATGACCATCTAGCTAATGCCGGTCCTTCCCGCGGCCCGTGGTGCGAGGAAAGCCCCACACCCAGGTTTCCTTTCCCACATCCCGGCCCCCTCTCCCGGGCACGGCCCGGCCATGAGGCGAAGGCGCGGGACGCGCAGCAGGGGGCGCGCGCCGCGCGGGGATGTCCCTCAGGCGCCGCCGCCATGGCCGCGCTCAGCCCCGGCCGGGCCTCGTGTGGGGCGGGGGAAAGCAC